AAAGCGGATCACAATAGATATGTTTGCACAAAATGTTTTTCAAATAAATTAATTTAATATATTTTCAACTTTTTCTACATTTTGATTTGAATAAAGTATAAAAAAATAATAGATATTTCATATGTGTAGAAATCTACACATGAAGTATAAAAACGTAGTTTTTTTTTAAGAACAAAGGAGGGTTAATAATTTTCATACTCTTACACAAAACCTTTTCAAAATAATTTGAATGAGTTAAGAAAAATAGTTATATATTTTAATGTCACGAAATTTACCATTAACTTCTTGCGTTTATAGAAGTTTGAAAAACCTTGTGGTTCCGGAAATATAAGGCGTCAAAAGACGAAATTTTACAAATTTTAAGATGCGATAACATGAGAGAGGATGGAGATAGAAAGAAGTTTCTTCTTATGAAATGAACTATTTGTTAGTGTCTAAAAGTGGTAAAATTTCAGGCTCCCAAAACCTGGGCTCTAAAAGAAAAACGAGATGAAATATTTTCTGAAATATATGAAAAACGTATTTTAGATGACGGTAAAATTTAACGGCCATTTTGTTTTTTTAAACTTTAACTATAGTATGCCGCACTAGGGGAAGAAAACCATTGCCTTTCTGCGTTTGAAAATTTTCAAAAATGCTTATAGTTACACTGCAATACATAGTTCAAAAATGGTATTTTTAGGTTTTGTGGGGATTTAACTTCTAGAGGGGGAGATGGTAAAAATTTTGTTCTACGGAAATAAATTTCTAGTTGAGATCTATGTACATGTTAAATTTCAGCTTTCTATCTTCAAGCTTGTAGGAGTTTTGTAAACATGTTCACGGACGGGCGGACGGAGAGAGTGACGCTTATAAGCACTTTTTTTAAACATTTTTTGGAAAAGTGCTAAAACCTACTACACTCAATTATTTAGTGTATCAGCGATCCAAGTTAATTAGAAGTAATTAATTGTAATTACTCGGATTACTGTTATATACTGTATGCACTATTACGTATAAGTTACAATTATTCAATTCAATTAAAATAAAACAAATTATTTTGTTTTTAGCACTTTTCCAAAAATTTTTGGGTAAGGGTACTTATTAGTTTAACGTTGTCCGTCCGTTCATGTGCACATTACCAAAACTTCTACACCTTGAAGATAGAAAGGGGAAATTTCATACCTTCATAGAAAATTTTTTCTAGTTCCACAAAGTATGTAAAATTTGAATTTTGAAAAGTTTTCCAAAATTCTATAAATGCAGAAACTAACTGGCGAACATTTCAGGGAATTCGGATAGCACAAAGTGAAACTCTACTAAGAGTCAAATTCACATTTTTCTAGGTATGTTAACTATAAGCTTACTAATGTCCTAAAAATTGCAAAGAAGTATTTAACAGGCATTTTTTTAATATTCTGTAACACTTTCACTTAACTAGACAGTACACATTGCGGTTGGTTAAGTGTAGACCACATCAGATATTTTTATTTTGAATTATGTTACATTATGTACTTATATATGTAAATATTAAATATCTAAAACTAAAATACGTGAAAGATGCTAAGTTATCCGCCTTAGGTTTAAGCACAATATATGACTCTGGTTATGTTTGTGAAATTGATATAATTTTTTATTTTTGAAGGGCCGATTTTACATACATATGTACGTAAAACACATTTAATATTTTGAACAAAAATGAGAGAAAATGGTGACGTTTTCATTTTCTCAATGTTTAAAGTTTTTTCAAGTTTTGTAAAGTAAAATGTAGTGTTTTAAATTTTTTTTAAATTTTACACCTGCCTGAACATGTGTTTTTCTTGGTTATGCCAGGAGATTTTATTTTTGAAAAAAAAAAACTTTTTTCATCAACTCAATTTTTTTTTCAAAACTTTTCAAGTAAAAATAAAATAAAATAAACACAAATGGTTTTTTATAAGTTTCACACTTTTATAAAACAAAATCAAAATTTTCAGTTTTTTAAATAACCAAAAAATATTTGTTTTTGTTTGATAATATTTTGAAATTTACCATTTACGAGTATGTTAAAAATTTTATAAATAGGTTATAAAGTTTTTAACAGTTTTTTCAACCTTTCCGTCTTTATTTTTTAAATGAGATTTATTTTTTTTAAATGACATTTGTTTTTCTTTTTGCGAGAAATTAAGTCATTGTTTATCTTTTCAAAGTTTTTTCAAGTTTTATACCAGACAGACCTAATATAATAACGTAAATGTTAACATAATACAACAAACAAACAGCGCATTTTTCATAAAAAAAAATTACTCGCTAAAAAGTGTAAAGAAAAAATTTGACATATTTGAAGTGCTTTGCCTTCAATATCGAATGGGTTATATGGACAGGTTTGCATTCATTGAACATTATTTAATCAAGTACAGAGAACTCCCTATTTTTTCAGCTTAAGTTGCAAAATATTATTTCAATGAAATTAGTAAATGCTTATTGAACTATTTTTAAACAAGCAAGCTTTATATCAAAATTGATTTTTTAATTTTTCTAGGTTAGGTTAGAGGAATATAAACGACTTGCAGGAATTGGAAACATAATGGGTATTGAAAACTATATACTAAATCCATCAGAAACAAAAGTACTTTTTCCACTACTAAACGAGAAGTCATTTATTGGCGCCTTGTATTCTCCCGGGGATGGGGTGGTAGATCCTGCACTACTATGCGCGGCGTTGAAAAAATCTGCACTAGCAAATGGGGCACATGTAATTGAAAATTGTTCTGTAGAAGATTTGTTAACTTCCGAAAACACAATCGGGAAAAGAAAAATTATAGGTGTGAAAACACAATATGGAAACATCAAAACGGATGCAGTAATAAATGCGACAGGTGTCTGGGGACGAGACTTAGTTAAAAAATATGGAAGCAACTTACCTCTTATACCCATGAAACATTCTTATATCGTAACTGAATCAATTAATGGAGTTAGAGGTTTACCTAATATACGTGATCATGATTATTCTATTTATTTTCGTATTCAGGGTGACTCCATTTGCATGGGTGGTTATGAGGTTAATCCAACTATATTGAAAAACGTTCCAAAATCTTTTAAATTTGGACTATATGATCTTGATTGGACTACCTTTGAACCGCATATTGAAAAGGCAATTGATTTATGCCCTCAAATTAATCAAAGTGGTGTGAAAAGTACTATTTGTGGTCCAGAATCATTTACACCAGACCATAAACCATTAATGGGCCCAGATACAAATATAAGTGGATTGTATCACAGTTGCGGATACAATTCAGCTGGAATGATGTTTGGAGGTGGTTGCGGAGAACAAATAGCTTGCTGGGTAATAAAGGGACAACCAGATCTACCAATGTTTCAATTTGACCTACGTAGATTTTCAGAAACACAAACTTCAAATCATAAATGGGTCAAAGAAAGAAGTCATGAAAGTTACGTTAAAAATTACAGTATAGTATTTCCGAATGACCAACCTTTGGGAGGAAGAAATATCTGCATTGATCCTCTACATAATGATATGTAAGAAAGTTATTTTGATTTTTATTCAATAGAAAATAATTTCAATTACTAACTTTTAAAGAAATTAAGAGGTGAAAACATTTAGCAAAATTTATATAAAAGTACCTAAAAGCCGCGATTTATCTCTACTATTTTGTTTATCTGCGTATATTTTTTAGAATAAGGGTTTCCTAGTTCAGAAATTATTTTATGATTACCACAATCTATTGTGTATTATATTTATAATTATATTACACAAGCTCAATACGATGAAACAACCATCTTCTGAAAATTGACATACAAGAAAAAGCAAAATAAAAAATATTGTACAACTTTTGTATTATTTGTTATTTTAACAAATCACAAAAAAGTTCCTGTTACCTTTTATTAATTAATTTCCTTTTTCTTCGATTAATTAAAACAATTTTAATATTAATTGTTATATTTTTTTTTTATTTTTATTTATTAATTTCTTTTTTTTTTAATTATTACAAAAACATAAAACTTAATTTAATTATATATCCACTTTTTCAAAAATTATTTAATATTCTTTTTTTTTCTCTCGCTTAATAAAAAACTTTTTTATTCAAACTTAATTCTTTGACAATCAATTTTCGACTCGCTATTTTTAAGAAAGGAAAAATTAAACCAAGTTATAATTTTTCCTTGCTTTTACAAAAAATATTTAAAAACAAAATTTGTTTTTACTTTTTTCTTTTTTTATTTTACATTAGGAAACCAATTTGCTGAAAAGAATTATTTTTTAGATTTTTATTTTTTTAGAAATATTTTCACACGAAATTATTAGATTTTTATTTTTTTTTTTAGAAATATTTTCACACGGAATAGTTTATTAAGCGATAATTTCAATGCATAAATTTTATACAAGAAACAAAAAAAACTATATTAAATGTTTGTAATATTAGATTCTATTTTTATTAGTTATGTAACATAACTCTTAGTACGACGGCTTAAGCCAACATGTGTGATTTAAATAATAAAAAAAACAAAACGAGAAAAACAAAAAGTATATTTTGAGTTATATTGAAATGCGATATATCATTAGAAAAAGCAAAATAAAGAAGATAAAAGGTATCGCTTAATTAGTATTGAAATTTTGTCTATACTGGAAGAGGATATATAACTCCCCCCTCCTTAAGCTTGATGTCCTCCTGGACATCACTTTTTCTTGATGTGGTTGGTAATTGGTTAATATTTAATCCCACAGCATTTTCTTGAACTTTTAATTTAATGCATTTTGATTTCCTTTGTTTTACAAAATATAAAATTGGTATAGTTAATGCTATAGTCAGCAAAATTACAATTAGTATATATAAAATTTTGTTATTATTTTCAAATGACATTTTTATTTCTTCAATTTTTTTTATGTTTTCAATTTGTTTTAAGTGGACATCATTTAAGTTTGCTTTTAATTCTATATGATCTATATTTAAATAGTTTGGTAACATGATATGTTCAAATATATAATTTTCTTTATTTGTAAATACAATATTATTTAATTCAATAGAACAGTTACTAAATGTAATTAGATAATTTTTGTTTAAAATATAAGTAATATTATTAACAGAGGTTTTTAATATTAGGTTTTCTGCGTTTTTTACTAATATATTGTTTGAGGATATTTCGATAATTTTTAAATTTTTTTCAATTTCTTTAGTACATTTGTTAACATTATTTTTAACTAAATTTTGAATACATTTGTCAGCAATTTTTAAATTTTTTACGTACAAATTATTTTCATCGATAAAAGTTTTATTTTTGTGTGTAATGAAATTCGAATTCATTAGAGAAATTTCTTCAAATTTATCGTTAGGTATTTGTAAAATTTTAATTTTTTGTGCTAATTGGTCAGATAAATTTGGGATTGAGATAACGAAAATTAGTTTCTCATCCCTTTGAAATATTGAACTTTTAATCTCTTGATATTTAAATGAGTCTATTTCATAACGTTCTATTTCATCTGATGTTAGTATCGAATTAGTCATAATTCCGTGTTTCGCGAATGCTAGGTTACCTTGTATTTTATTAATTTCTTGATTTAGAATACTAATACTATTTAAGATTTGTAAGAATCGAATTTGTTTAATATATTGGCGGTTTTTATCTGTCACAGTATTAAGGAGCTTTTCAGTAAAAATTTTATCATCTGACACTTGTTTTTGAAGGGTATTCAAGTTATTTTCTAAGTCGTTGTTAATTTTGATTTGTTGGTTTATTGCTGCTATTGAATTATGGTTATTCAGATCTATCTGGTGAAGATGTAATTCGATTTCAGCTCGATCATCGCTATCCATAGTGCCGAATAACCATCTTAATGTAGAACCTCCAAAATTAATCAAACCCCGTTTTTTTCTATGTATTATAAGTGTTTTTATGTTATGAGATGTTTTGTTTACTTGGGTTTGTAATTGTTTAATAATATATTGGTCTTCAGGACCTTCGAAAAATGTGTTGATAGATTGTTCGATTTTTATTAGCGTCTCTTGCAAGTTATTTGTGTCTATTACGTGAAGTATTTTGGTGTAACTTTGTATTAAAGGAGTTTCGTGTAACTGGAGGATTTGAAACCCCCCATGAGTGTCAAGTTTTTCTAACCGCAAAATTGCTTGTGTAGAGTTTATAAAAAGGAGCAAAAATGTTAAAATAAAAATTTTATGCTTGTGGGTTTGTATTTGAGGTTCGACCTTGTGGTGTTGTATTTTGACCTGAAATGAATTTAAATTTCCTTTTAATTCTAGAAGGATGAATATTACGATTATTATTATCTATTAATTTATTGTGTTCCCGTCGGCTTTCGATCTGAATATACCTTGGGGCGGTTTTGTATCTTTCTGTTTCAGGGTTCTTAACTAAAATTTTACCAGAGTCTTCTGGCTTGAATTCACTTCTATTAATGTTCAGTCTATTTATATTAATTATTTTTTTTCTATGAATTAAATTTCTAATTTGCTCTAGGTTTGAAACTTTACCGTTTAGAATATCAAGTGGTCTAACTTCAATTGTCGAGTGGATTGAGTTATTATATTTTTCCACCGCAAGAAAAACCCTCTGAATAGTATTTAGTTTGCATTTTGTTGTTTCAAATATTCTAAGATGTTCGTTAAGAGTTCCATGAACTCTCTCTATGTCAGAGTTGCCCGTGTGGGATCTAGGTGATGTGAAATGAACTTCGATATTTTCTTCCCTACAAAAATCTCTCATATTAAGGCTATTAAATTCGTTATCTAGTACAAGTTTATTGGGTTTTCCTAATATAGCAAATCTAGTTCTAAAAAGATCTATAATAGTTAAAGCATTTCTGTCAGGTAAATGTTGAACCATTAAGTGCTTCGAAAATTTGTCGAAAGTTGTCAAAAAGGTCAGTTTGTAGCAATAAAACACATCGCCGCAAACAATGTCATTAGGTTCGTCAGGAGTTTCACTTATTTGTAGTTTAGTTTTTTGTGGGTGGCGATCATATTTTGCTTTATTGCACATATTGCAATTGTTTATAAATTTATGGATTATTTCCCTAATTTTTGGAAAGAACCACCCTTTTCTAATTTGATTGAAATTTTCAATTATACCCCGGTGGTTCGAGTCGTTGTGAATTTTTTCTATTATTTCTATTGCTTTATTTTCGTTGAGAATATTTTCTGCTTGAGTTGAACATTTATAGAATTTTATATTATTATTATTTCCAAATAGCTCGATTAATTTTTGTTGTAGTATATTATATTTTTCGTCACCCAATTTTGAAAAAATACCAATTTTTCCCTTTTTTATAACACGACGTAATAGGTCGTTCAAGTAATTATTGTCGTTTAATTCATTTTCTGATATATATATTAATTTATATTTGCCATATAATCTCTCTGTTTCACGTTCCCTTTGAGGAACGATGTGAATCTGTGTAAGGTATTTATTAACTATATGGTCTACGATCGGGATGTGGTCGTGCAAATCTTCGACCCCACTATGAATTGTAGCCATGTCAGTGTCGTTTTCCCTATTTACATTTTCAGATATGTCATTTAGATTTATTTCTTGTTTATTTGTATTTATTCTGCTGAGAAAATCAGCAACCCTATTCTCTTTGCCTCTTAAATATTCTATGTCGAACTCATATTCATTTAACCTGATTTTCCAACGTTGTAATTTGGAATTGGGTTCCTTGAGTGAATGTAACCACGCAAGTGGTTGATGGTCCGTTCTAATAATAAATTTAGTGCCATATAAGTATGGGCGAAAGTATTTGGTTGCCCAAACGATTGCGAGAAGTTCTTTTTCTATCGCAGAATAACGAGTTTCATGCTCGTTAAGAGTTCGACTTGCAAAGCAAATTGGGTGTCCATCTTGTGACAAGACGGCACCAATTGCAAAGTTTGAAGCATCTGTTGTTAGTATAAATTGTTTTTTAAAATCTGGATACCTTAAAGTCGGATAATTCGTTATAAGTTCTTTTAATTTCTCAAAAGACAAAACGTAATTTTGGTTATGAATGTCAATTTTTTTATCTTTTTTCAAATAATTAGTCATGGGCCTAGCTACCGCAGCGTAATCTTTTATGAATTTGCGGTAGTACCCCGTAATGCCAAGGAAACTTTTTATCTGTTTTCTAGTCGTAGGTAGTTTGAGTTCTTTGATAACCCTCACCTTATTGTCATTAGGCTTTATACCATTAGGCGTGGGGGTATGACCTAAATACTCAGTATTTTTTGAAAAGAAATTGCATTTATCAATCTGTATTTTTAAATTGTACTGTCTTAGTCGTTTAAATATAATGTTTATTGCTTCCAAATGTTCCTGTAGAGAAGTCGAAAAAATCAATATGTCATCCAGGTAAACGACGCAAATTTTATTTATTAAATCTCTTAAAACATGGTTCATGACGCGTTGGAAGGTAGCGGGGGCATTTTTCAGCCCAAAGGGCATACGAAGAAATTCGTAGTGACCCCGGGGGGTCGAAAATGCCGTTTTACACCCATCCTTTTCATCTACCAAAATTTGGTGGAACCCTTTCGCCAA